ACCTAGTCACAGTTGGGTTTGTTTGCACATCGATTCCAGAGCTCTTCCAAATTGTTTTTGAACTTCTTTGCGACACCACGTGTGATTTTCAAGATTCGAGACCTCGACCGATTTCAGGGAGTACCTATGGACCTACGGCCCTTTTGCACATCAGCCGGTACATCTTTTATTGCACCCAGCAAGATTTCACCGGACAGCATTTTTGCTCGGTCTAATTGATAACTTCGCACCGCATTGTGAGCTGTGCATGTGGCAGAACTCAGGAATCGTTTACCTGGGCACTCCCATAACGGCAGAGGCCAGTGAAAGATGTCCCGGCTTCGGTAGCAAGTACAATAAGATCATGCTAGAATTGCACTGCGGTTCAGGCTTTTGTCCAAAGCCATTCTCGTAATGGTTATAGTGATGGCTGCGCGTTTGATGACGATGCCCATGGTTGATGGTGCAGGGTGCGACGATCGATAGTGATGAGGATGAGAATGGGGAAGGCGGGCAATCATGATGATGATTTCGCTGCGTTTCATGAAGACGGACGCAGCGATGAAGATGACGACAAATACACCAAATACGATCACCGCGACGATGGTGGACAAGAAGTTCATGCAATGCAGCCATAGCAGGGCAGTGATGTGCGGTGTTCACAGAATGATCTAAGACTGGTAGGATCCTGTTGGCCGCTGCTCAAACAGTACAACGGAGAAGCATATACTAGCCATCGCAACGTCATTCATAGCACCAACATACAGAGGACATGGCAATATGAACTTGCAACCGTGCAGACACTATGTCGCGCTTTGGCCATGAGCAGCTCGTGTTGCTCGATATGTTCGAAGTCTAGCAGCAAGGATTGCAAAGGCGGATTGTGTTCGGCTCTAGGCTTGGCTCAAGCAGGTGACTGAGCTCATCATCGCGCAACTTCTCTACCTCAACTATGAGTCCGCTGACAAGCCGGCAGCAAGCCCAGCAAAGCCAACGCCTCCTCTTCGTTTCGAGTTTCAGCGTAAGCCGAGCGATCCGAGAGCAACTGCTAGGAAGCTTGGAAGGGAAAGAGCTGAGAAATCAATCCGCCGAGATCACTCTGTACCTCAACAGCACCGGCTCCACTATCAAGAACAACACAAGGCCGGGCACCCGTGTCACCAGGTCGCCTCCCTGCCATGCTTCTTGTTGCTTCTCTCTCCCGCTCTTGTGTTTTGCATGTACGTGATGGTGTTCCTGCAGACTTCAACTGTGCATTCTGATCCCGATTGCATTTAGCATCTGTCTGCATGTGTATGAATGCGTTGGTACGTGCACATGCACATCCTTTTGGCCCTGTGTTTGTTTTTTGAATGTCTGTCTCCTGCATGCTCCCTTGACGGAAGGTATATCGGTGAGTCCAAAGTCGGGCTGGAAACTGATGCTTTCGCCATTGCAGATTGCATGGCGCCGAGAGCTTAGATGCTGGTACGGTTCTACTTTTGGTTTTGTCGAACCTGGAATGTGGACCACAAAGGATGCATGCAATTCTTGGGCAAGACGTGCATAAGAAAGCATGGGGAAGTGCATAGTTGTTAGGTCCCTGCATATGCTTGCCTAAACGAGAGCTTGAGGTCACTTGCGAAAATCGGGTCGTAGCACTCAACACGACTTCTTGCAACTCGAGAGGTACTCGGACACTCAACTACTGCCCCCCCCCGCCCAGGTATATCAAGCCTGACATTCAGACCATCGCCATCGGACAGGCCGTTGTTGAAATTCGCTGCCGTGGAGGGGTGGGGGCGGAAGGGGATGTCAGTCCAATGCCAATGAGATGCATGTGATGATGATCTCGTGAACCGGTCTCCGATGAATATGACAGAGACAGGCCTATGGTACGGCAGCAGTGCTTCTGGGCCTAGGCAAGAAGGGCAAGCGTCGCTCGGCTTTCACTTTTGACTGCAGAAACAGACCTGTCAGGAAGCTGGCGTCATAAAGTGATGTTTGTCTTGTTGGCATCCTCGGAAGCTTCCGACATCAAGGTTTTGCGCTGCCAAACGCAACCATCATGTGGCAGCCTCAGCAGATCATATCCACGTGCCACATACCCAAGGCAATCGGAAGCACGGGTCAAGCCAGGGTGAGAGCATGAGACACCATGCCCCTTCAAGCCTTTCCTTCCTGAACCGATCTGATCACCCGACAATGGGTGGTGGTTACTATCAGCAGCAATCACGAGCAATAAAGAATCCGGGAATGACCGTGGTGATGATGACGATAGAAAACGCAGGGTGGTAGAGTGGTAGTAGCAACAGGTCAGTAGGGCATACCCAAGCATCGACAGTGCAGGGTTACCATCATCGACAACTGAATCAAAGATCGATGCATTGCATCAATGGCAGGAGCCCGGCGAAGTCCGATCCGAAGAGCTGCAGATCCCTCGAAGAGCCCCGAAATTCGTTCCCTAGGCTGTCGGAGCCACGGGAGCCACCGGCCCAGGGCCCTCGACAAGCCGCCGATATCCGGATTATGGCGAAGGAGGCCAGAGATGCTGTTTTTCGAGCACCTCTTGACCTTCGACAGCTTCATAACTCTTGTGGTCGCTTTGTGCCTGCCAAACCGAGACTCGCAAATGCCGGTGCTGCATGATACTACTCCATCGGAACATCAAAACTCATGTCAAACGCAGCCAGGTGTTGCAGAATCGGTCAACGATGAGCGAACTGCTGTCCACAGCCACCGGCAAGACGAAGGAGCAAGTGGTGGAGGACCTTGGCCGTGCATTATCATTACTGTGCATGAGAAGAAGTATCTGCTAATCGATCTGATCTACGACTATTCAGTTTGCATGTCCGATCAAGCGCAGTATGGTGATGCGTGCAATTTATGAGGTCTTTTCGATTCCTCAAACCTGAACTTGTGACCGTAAATCTCTCAAAAGCCCCAGTCGGGACCTGTTCTTCCACCGCAGAGACAGTCCTGGCTCGGGTTGGGGCTCGTGGCATAGTGAAGGACACAAATCGCTGCTACTACATGACACCTGATGAGGCCGTTGAGCGTGGCGCCTGGTAAGAATTGCACCGGGTGCTTAGTTCTGTCCAAGGCTGCCAATTTCGCAGAACTTACAATCAATGTCGTTCCCATGCATTTCGATGCCTGGAGCCGGGCGTTCAGAAGGTTAAGGAGGTTTCCGCGGGGACCCTGGCTCTCTGCGGGACTTAGATCTGATGAATGATAAGGAGAGGAGTTTTACTGTGGTGAAATTTGACCACTGCAGTGTTTTTGACAGCCGTTCTTGCTCAGCAGGCTTTCCAACGAAAACCAGCAGCAACAAAAAGCAACAACAACACCGGCAGCAGCATCAAAAGCGACAGAGCTGACATGAAAGATATGCTTGCCAATCTGCTAAATGACGGTTACTAAGGCTGCCGTAGCACAGCATGATTCTGATTCGCTCACAACACGTCGTAGTCGTAGTCGTAGTCGTAGTCGTAGTCGTAGTAGTAGTAGTAGTAGTAGTAGTAGTTGTTGTTGTAGTTGTAATAGGTCGTAGTGGTAGTAGTAGTAGTAGTAGTAGTAGTAGCAGCAGTAGTAGGAGGTGACACGGAGGCGATTGCAATGACAGTGGCCGTGGCCGTGTGAAGCGGCTGTAGTTTTGTATCAGTAAAACTGTTTCAATTCTGTACTATTATCCCATCAGCCCAATAGGTTTGACTACGATTGATTACGTTTGGTTCAGGTTATCGACACGGCTGTAAGAAAGACACTCTTCCTGACTTTGGATCGACTCCGTTTTCAGGTGAAGCTCTGAGAGGCGACTGTTACCCTAAACCCTAAACCCTAAACCCTATACCCTAAACCGAAACTGTTACCGCATTCACGGTTTGGATTTGGAGATGTCTCGTTGCAGAGGTATGGCCTCATCGACAAGGTTCTCACCCCCGAGAAGCTGAAGGGAGCCGGTGACAAGGACCCAGTTGTGATTTGGTTTGCGTTTTAGCCTAAGTGTTTGATTTCGTCAGGATTTAAAGTGTGTGTGGGCGCGGTTTCATGAGCGACTTGGATGTGGTGAGCCCTGAAGCCGTGCATGTGAAAGGAAGTGCCATCCTTCGTGTCGGCGATGTCATCCTGAGCGGAGTGCTGTGGGTTCGTTAGCTACACAAGCCACCCCAATAGGGTTCCTACATTCATCTAGAATCTAGAATGCCGGATTAGAGCAGGGTTGCGTGGTCAAGTGACATTGAAGTCATGTCCTGGTAGGGTTGTGAATCGGCTACTCTCGCGCAGAGGCCACGGCCAAGAAGTTTACACATCACCCACTTGGGCCGGTGGAAGGGACGCAAGAAGTAAGGATTCGGATCATTGCTTTGGACCGGCCGTATCCATAACGGATCGTGGTCTCAGCAGCGAGTGTAGGGTAGAGAGACTGGCGCCGGGTCTCCCTGCAGTGTTATGATCAGATTTAGTATCTCAATGTTGTTGTCTTCGCCCTAGGCAGCCATATTTACGCCATTGGCAGCGTGCCTGAAGCGACTTCACTTCAGTGGAAAATCGCTGCCCGTGATCTCATGGATGAGTGTGCGGGCCCCTACTAAAATCTACTACAATATACTCGAAATATACCATATAACATTGTGCTATAATATGCTTAGGCTATAACGAGAGACTATGCGCCTTAGACAGTCGCGACAGCCCTGCTTTTTTTCGGATCCGCAGCCCACGCCTCAGAGGCTCTAGTGCTCAAAGATCCGTGAGAGGTTAGTACTCAGTCTGTTATAATGGTAGATTGCAAATCATAGTAGAATTTGATTACTGTAGCGTTTTGCAGTACATTATAGTATATGATCTTACGCATTACAGTTAGAGTAGTTTATGTCTGGACATCGGCACAGATGCGGCTGGAACACGCCAGAAGCGTACGCAAACAATAGCAACTACCATCAGTAGCTACGGCTTGCCAGTCTTGATTCATACCACCGGCACCAAGATGATGGAAATACGAGTCCGCCACAACATCCGCTTTGCGGCTGCCCGATAGCATCATGATGCAGTCCCTGGAAGAAGGTGCCAGATTCTGATGTGGTGCAGGGGCTGAGCTACCGCCGGTCTGCCATCAAACTGTCAGACACAAGCTGATGGAATGGACAGAAGAAGACCACTACCAGTAAGTTCTTTGAAAAAGTACGGCTAGTAGCGATATCGGGACAAACAATCTCCTCGCAGTGCTCTATTTCAGGCAGCGTGCCGCTCACGTCGAGTGCCTGAATCTGAGATTTGGCCTTCATGCGAAGACTCCTTGTGCGCTGATTAATTAAGCGCGCACGTTTGCCCGGCGCTTGGGAAGACTTGGTTTTAGTACCCTTTCGATTGCTGCCATTGCTGCTACCATGACAGTGTGTCACAGAAAGCTGTGAAAGTCAGCTACGCAGGCAGACACTCAACTGCGGGCGGCAGCCTTCAGGTCACAGGTAGCACTGCTGCACGGGACCCAGAGGGCAACAGCATCATGCGTCAGGATCGTCGTAATGGTAGTCATGATGGCGATGACGATCACCTTCGTCACTATGCATCGTAGTCCGCACGTTATACTACAGCATTCATGTCATGAGGTTTCGATTTGCTTAGCTGGAATCAAGGTCCCCACTCTCAATGCAGAATGGCAACTGCAAAGCGACCCAAGTGATACATGCACGAGAAGCAGTCTTGGGGCCGGCGTATCCTGCTCAGGTGCGTGGTCGCCTTGGATAGCGTGCTTGCCAGGAGCTCGGCACTCCAAGTGACTGCAACATGGCCTTCAATTGACAGCAACTGACGATAACTGACGTGTGTTGTGTTTTTTGAGGCTCCATTGGTGGTCCTGTCGCCATTTTCCTTCGACACAAATGCCTGGTCCGCCAGCCAGGCTTGAGACTGCCGGTTGAACACACCGCTTTTTCGGTACAACTGGAAGCGACGACATCGTCATGAGAACACGCACAACGTCGGAGTGCTGCCGAGCCTCGCAGATACAGCACTGGAGCTTCGACAAATCCATTGCCGACTGGCCCCTGTGGGCGTGGACGAGGGATGCGCCATGCCTGCAACTTTGCAATACAGAACGTAGTAGCTGGCTTGCCTTCAGCAAGTGAGAGCCGGTTTTGGATGCATTCTGCGTGCCATCGCTCAGACATCTCGACGGATGCCCTGAATCGGTTTACACCGCCTCATAGTCTTAGTCACAGTCAGCAGCTTCTGATAAATGATATGGGTAGTTGTCAAAATTATGATCCCTTTTGGGGTACCCTAAATAATAGGTGCCGTATTATAATAAGGACCCCAAAAGGGACCCTAATTTTGACAACCACCCATATGGTGTTGCTTCGGCACTGAAATCACTACCAGGCGGAGCGATCTCGGCCATCGATAGCCCATCCTCTGTCGCGATGAGGTCCTGATTTGTGGCTTTCTCTTCTATGGCCAAAAGATTCAAGACCAGAAGGCCAGTGGCAGAGTGTGATGTGCAGGGAATGCAGCACAGCGCAGTTGTTTGTGTAGTTGATGGGAATGAATCAGACTGGAGATGACGGGATACTAGTACGGCTGCCGATCGCGAAAGTGACGATTGTTGCTTTGAGATCCCTGATGAGTGGCCGCGTATAGTAGAAGGTAGTCGTAGGTAGTCGTCGGTCGTGTTGTTCTTCATGTTGTTGTTGTTGTTGCTGCTGCTGGTGCCGGTGTTGCTGCTGCGCAAGTTGATATGCCAGCACCCGTCAACGGCAGCATGCACACTGTAGCCCTCAGGCTTCACAAGAACGTAGTTTCAACCTCCGTCCATGAGAAATGAGAACATCCAGAGCCGAAGCCAAGCAACATGACCAGGCTGGCGCGAGGCTGGCCCGGCGATGCATCGTGGCAGGGGGCCAAGCTGAAGGGGAGCTTCATCTTACAGTTCTGGCCGGAGGACATTATAAGCTTCCTGTGTGACGATGCATGCGGTCGTTGTGAAATTGTTGGTATCCATGTTTCGGGGGTCTAGCTCGACAATTGAATAGCGCTGACTTGAAACAGCAGCTTGTCTTGTCCTTCGGGCCCACTCCATTTGATGTCTTGAATGGGTTCGAGAATTGTTTGGGCAGCTGGGACAAGATCTGCTGGTAATGAGCATTGGCATGACACCGTGGCCCTAGCCACAGTGAAACTTTGCGCCCTGCTGGGTGTGAGGGGAACTCAGCACCGGAAAATCGGTGAGCGACCATCCGGTTTCGACTCCCTTCAAACCATGCAACTTATCCCGGTGTGAAGCATCGTAGCAGCACGAAATGAGCCAGTGTGTGGTTTTGGTAGGAACTCTCCTCAAGGAGCTTCGGGCTGACTGCATGATGGCTTGCGTTGCTTAATCCTGTAACCTGCAGAACTGGTCTAAGCGCAGTTGCAGTGCACTCGCAAATGCTACGTTTTGCAAGGCCTCGATGTCAGCTTTTATTCGGGATCGAGGTGAGCAGAGACAATGGCTTCGAACGCTGAGCACGGCAAGAAACGGACAGAGCTATGAGGCTATGATACATAAGTACTGAGACCAGCAAGTGAGCTAGGCCTGCAAATTATCCATGCTTGTGGCTCATTGTAGCTCTGTCAATTGAATTAACATGAGTGGGCACGACCAGCCAGACCACCACACGCAAGCAAGCCGCACTAAGCAGGGACAGCATGGTTACACTTACTACGACCGAAACGTGAACATTCGATCAGCCCTTCTGTCTCACTGAGGTCGTGCTGCTCATTGGCATCCTCAGGAGTGGGCTTGGGTTGCCTCGAAGATCCTGGGGGCATAGCTTATACTCACAGGTGAGCCCGACTGAGCTAGATGAATTCGGTGTTGTTTCGATGACGCTTCGTCAGCCAACTCGTCTTTCATAGTTTCAATGTCGAGGTGCAGGAAGACGAAAGGTTCATGACTGGGGAGGCAGGCGACGTAGGGGTACCGATGATCATCGAAGCGGCAAGATGCTTCCAGTATACTTAAGCTCCTAGCAATGCTGCAAATATCTCTCGCTCTCTCTGTCTTTATTTCTCTCTCTCTCTCTCTCTCTGTCTGTATACTGAATTGCACACACACAAGCACGTCGCATCAGCAGTGTAAAATAGGTACAACTAGGTACAAACGACTTGAAGTGTCAGCGGACTTTGGCCTTAAGAGCAAACCCAGCAGATCGCAACGGTGGCATCATCGATACACTACGGGAATTAGTACCGCGAAGACGACGCACTTAAGATTGGAGCTCCTGGTGCCTTCGTGCCTTCGGCTTGAGGGCCACCCTTTTGGACTGGGAGCTGGCGGAGGCCGGAAAGATCTTTATGCCGACAGCCGGGGGGCCCTGGATGGTTTTGGACCATGGAACTCAGGGGTTAGGACTTGAAAGGCTGTAAGGATCTGTAAGGCTTCGGGTTTCGGATTCAACCCTAGGGCTTTGCGAGTCGAGGGCTGTGAACAAGATTACATGACATGATGATTGAATGGTTGCCTTGTAAGGTTCCAGCAAGGCTTTTGGCAAAATCAAGTGCGCAGAGCCATTAGCGGCAAGAGATGGTCGGTACTCCACTGTGAAGAAGAACAGTGACAAGAGGAATGGTGCTTGTGTGTGTGTGTGTGACGACGAAGTCTGTCCATGCGCATGAGGAGTGTCAGCAAGGGCAGGCTTGAGATGTTCCTTGAGCCTGGGTTGGCGCACATCACAGATTTGAGGTGGCCTGGGGCACCGTTGCGGCGTTCTCCCTTGCAGCCGTTCGGTGCTCAGATGCACTCGTCCAGCAGGTTTGTTATGAAGCTCACGATCTCGGTTCCGAACTCAAGAAAATTCTGGAATTTCGGTTTCGAGGGAAGAGGTCTGTGTTTGTCTACCACGGTGTCGCAAGTAGGAGCAAGCCAGCGAGTCTCACCGACACTGCTGAGAGACCTGGACCTGTAAACCCTCAAACTTTGATCCCTGCAGTGCCTGAGGTCTCTCAAGTTTACTTGATAGCCTGTCGGCGAGAGGCAGCGGCTGCAGAACAGGTGCGAGTCTTTGAGCAATGCCCATAAGCTTTCTTTTCGGGGAAGGCTTAGTTAGGAGCGCCGGAATGAGCAGGTCACTCGTCTCGAGTTTTTGGGCCATTTCTGAAAGGCTCAGCCTGGTTTCATTTCGTTTCCTTAGTCCCTTTTGACCCAGCCTTAGCCAGCACAGTAGAAACTAGCCAGACGGAATCAGCGCACTATCGTACGGGTTCGACTTAGTGACGGTGTGCCATGCAGGATGTCCTTAAGGCAAAGGTCTAAGGCTTGCATGGTCATAGATGCAAAAAGTGAACGGAAGGTGTCCTGTGCTCTTTGACAGAGTGCTCGTCGAGAGTTCTGGCCGTGACAGATTCAGATATCTTGTCAGGCGACTGCAACACAGGAGGCCATTCGCCCGGGGCTTTCGTGGCAGTCGATGTGCTTGCAAGGCCCTGCTGCAATCTTGACCATGCGGTCTCAAACGATCTCAAGACCGACTTCGCATTCGTCAGTGTTGTGCTTTAACCCTCGTCATGACATTCGGTGGGGAGTTTCCTTTCGCTTCGGGCGTCGGAACCCACTCTCGAAACCGTTACGTTACCGTCTACAATTGGGTTTGGGGCTTTAGTTTGCCGGATGAGATTTGGAGAGATCCGGCCTTTGGAGGTTGACGGATCAACCGGTGTCGCTCAGGATCTCAAGTTCCCCCTACCTAAACTTGGAGTCGATATTGTTCGTGAAGCAACTTCACTGATCTTTCAATACGGCAGGCCTCAGCGACGGACACAGGCGAGCAGCAGTGCTCCACCTGGTTTCTACTACATCCCGTCACGCTTAAACATGCGCGTTTCGGGTCACAGCGAGGGCATGGCCCAACTGACATGAAGGTACTCGTCGAAGCTGTCCTTCTTCCAGACCTTGAAGGCTAGGGCACCAAGTAGTGACAATGCAGTGAGTAACTGTTGCGTGGGCTGTATAATCCTATGTAGTGTGATGCAATTACACTTCATTTAGTTTATGGCAGCGCAGCCGTGCAGCACAGCGTAGTCACGCGGAGTCCAAGCCAAGTATGACATCTACTTGTAGAGTTCAGTAAGTGAGGTACGGTGTAGTACCCTTTTGTGATGTGGTATGTACTTGACCTTGCGGGATAAAGCTGGAAGCAAGTCGGTGCAACTGATGGTGTCAAATTCACAGGCCATAATTGCGAGTATCGCGCGCGTATTGTGTCGGATCGCTGGGCCCCATGGTCTTGCACATGTGTTTAATTCAGGCCTGCAAAAACTTGCACAGGGGCAAGACACGTGTACGAAACGCACAAGTTGAGTGAAAGGCTCGACAATCAGGAAGGTCTGGGTCGGTTTGCCCCCAGATAGGTAGGTTTGCGCATGGGTAAACATAGACTCTCAGTCCTCGGTTTAGGGGTTTAGATTTGCTTGTACATTTGTATAGGCATACATGCGTTGATAGTCCAACGCTGCCTGCCGCTAAACATTCGAGATTCGGTTGAGCGTTTCAGCGTGGAAGGCATGGCTTTTGGTCGTCGGATCATCTGAGGAACAGCGCTTGCCTGAGGTTCTGAAGCCTTACTTCTGGCCGTCCACGGGCAAGCCCCAAGAGGCCGTCGGGGTTTCCGATCATTTATAACACCGTTCAGGGCTGTTCGCAACAACGGATGCCAAAACATGTGGGATACAAAGGCTCGAGATACGGAAGCGCCTGCACCAGATCTGCGCCCGTCCAGCTCTTGCGGAGGGCCACCCCCTATGCACCCGGTACTTGAAAGGCCTCAAGCCCAAGAGATTCCAAAATTGTACAACATCCTACAAAATCTTCAGCCCTAGAGTTTTGTCCATACTTGGCAGAAGGGTTGGTTGGTACGGCGCCCCACTGTTTTTGTCGCACATTGTGCAGTTGCAAACGGTTGCCTTTGGGCGGAAAAGGGCGGGAGGGTAGTAAAGTTCTTCTTGAGGCCGTTTGTGACCAGAACGGGTTTTGCATGCCACGTAAGTCAAGCATCGGAATGTTCCAAACTGCTGGCAGAGCTTACGTAAAGGTAAGCCGGTTCAAGCGAAAGCTCAATGTATGCTGGATATTCCGAATATTGAATAGATCGGAAAGAACGAGGCCTTCGCGATGCATGCTGGGGGATCAACTGCATCCATGCATCCAAACTCTCTTGCTCAGAGTATTCTTGCTTTTGAGCCGATTAGCATTTTTTGTAGCCACCCAGCATGACATCAACTCTCATGCCGTCGTGCATCCTGTGTCGTGTTGACAGGACTCTGTCTTTTCATGTCTTGCGTGGCCAGTTTGTGACGCGACTTTTTCAGAAGTTGGCCGAGGCCACGAATAACATATCCGCAGTGAGGAGTTAATATCAATCCAGAGTGTCCAGAACTATCTCGGGCCGCTCGGGCCGTGCTTATAAAGGGCAAGAGGCCCCCGTGATGTCGTGCTAGGACGATGGCTTGAACAGCGCAAGCATGTGGCGTATGCTGCCCATCTGCTGTCTGCACAGGTGCTGATGAACCGCATTCGAGCCTCTTTGACTTGGTTCTGTGTCGTGCTCTCGAAGGCCTGCGCGCCCCCTTTTTGGATATGAGTGTACAAGGTTGCAAAATCAAATCGTGTGAACAGCGACAGGTGTTGGAAGTGACTCCTCCGTAAAGCCCAGCTGACACCTCAGGCCTTCAACATCATCTCCCCGATCTACCTAGCCCGGGCCACCAATGCCCTCTCTGCGGCTTTGAAGCGAACAAGCTCGCCGCAAGAGATTACCGAAGAGGCCAGGGTAGTGAGTGGCAGGTTCCAGATTTGGGCCTGAATTGCGGAGAAGAAGCGTCTTCAGCAGGTTGTGTGGAGAGATCTGCGATGCTGTGACTTCACCGTCACTTTGGCTTTCTCCACCTGCCTCACTTGGAGTCCCCTTGCAGAGTACCTGTTGCGTTATGTCGCAAACCTGTTCAGAGTTGTTTGTCCACGCTTCGTAATCTTTGCCCGCACCCATTTTGCATAGGTGCGCACTTAGATTTGCAGGTGCAATGCATCACTATCAGTGCACACCTAACCTCCACCGTGTGAGAGTGTCGCCCGTTGCACTGCAACCACCACAGCTAGTGATGCGCCTCTACAGTTGTTTTGCTGTGTCATTATCTTCTTGCTTATACACGATGGTTCATGGTGTTCCAACAAACTCAGCACGATGCTGACACCATTGCGGAGCGAAGGCCGAAGACAACGGGCGCCCAGCTCGATTATGCAAGTACTGTACACAACGAACACTGCTGGCATGCCAGCGTGTTCGTCCAATCTCCCAGTACGGATCAGGATGACCGCGTGCTGAAGATTCAACACACCCCCACCCTGCCCAAACACCGAAGCAAGTCGAAATCCATGCAGCAGCCTCGGATGTGCAGATGTGGTGGCCCTTGACGGAGTACGCGGCCATGGTTTTCTTCTCCAAGGCATTGAAGGAGACATTGACAAAGTGCTTTGCAGCATCAGAATGAGAAAGCAGGCAGGTAATAATCGGTAGCCACATATTTATAGCTTAGCTACAATGAAACAAACCACCTGTAACAGTCTTGGTCGTTCTAGCAACAGCAGTCTAACAAACAGCAGTGACGGCAATGTTGACAGGAAATCAAGGATCCAACATGATCCAACGTTTTGGAGGAGTTTGAGCGCCGTACAACCAAGCGCAGCGATGCACTGCCATGTCGGCCATGATGCCTTGCTCATTGATGTCAGTTTAGGTGCCTTCCAAGCAGGTCGGTAGCTGAATCTGCGGTTATAAGGCGAGCGTCCATAAACATCGCGACTGCCACTTTCGGAAATTTAATGCTGTCGGTGGCAGGAGGCGCAGTCTCTTGTGTACATCAAGGTGCAACAAGCCGCGTGCCCAAGCCTTCGTTGCTGAACGAAATTTGCGGCAATGATGTTACAGGTTCTCTAGACATGCAGCAGGAGCAACAACAGCAACAGGAAGGTACTCGCACTATGACGGTACAAGGCTGATGGAAAGAAGCAGGCTTAAAACACTGGCAGTCGTCTGCAGCCGTCCCGTAGATCATCAATAGCATACCACCGCTGCTACTACTACAGCTACTGCTACTGCTGCTGCTTCTGCTAATGCTGCTATTGCTGCTGCTGCTGCTGCTGCTGCTGCTGCTGCTACTACTACTAACAACTACTCTGCTGCTGCTGCTGCTGCTGCTGCTACTACTACTACTACTACTACTACTACGTAGCATTAGCAATCAGGAGGATGCTCAGCATAGGGAGGAGAGACATGTTTACCGTCGTAGTTCTACAGGGTTCGTCGAGCTCCTGGGGCGGTCTCTCTTCGTTGCACGAAACCTGATCGAAGCCCATGCTGTAACCATGGTAGGTACATTGAGATCGCGGATAACACATTCGCTCACCTGCACGGCCTCTCTCTGGACTGGCATCTCAGAAAAAAAATGGGGCACAGCCGGCATGACAAGGGAGCTTCTGAAGTTGCACCAGGAACTGGGGTGCGAAGCAGTCGGCACAGGGATATGTCGGCTCCGGTCAGCTACTTCCCTGTCCGCCCTCCTCTTCATGTTGTCCAATCATGACGGATCCACGTGGCCAGGAACGTCATCCGCTCCATGGATCGCGGAATCCAGGCCCGGAAAGCAGCCTCACATAGACATACAGACTGACACAGCTTGCAAGAATTACGCGCCGTCTCTCGTTGTGATCATGGCTCTCGTCGAAAAACTAACTTGGGCAACCGCCCCTATGCACTTGACATCTGTATATATCTATATATGTATGTATGTATGTATGCATGCATGTATGTATATAAATATACATACATATATGCACGAAGTGTGTGTTGAGCACTACATGACTTTATTACCTCATATTCCCCTGGAGTGGAGCGAGCGAAGAGTGAAGCCTGGTAGGCTGCGCAGCAGACAATGCAGTATGTGTTCCTCTACTTGGTTCCGACGCTGATCGAGGCCTTAACCGCACAAGCCTCAGGAAGTACTCCTACTTTGCTGCCTCATGGGATCTTGAGGACAGGTCAACTAAGCAGTCGCAGCCTTTTCGACAACTGACAAGCAGTTCCGAGGTGGTACTCATTTTCATTTTCCACTTCGAAAATGCACAGCTGGCTGTACTGTCCTCAGCATCCTTGGCCTCATGAAGCTTCGGCTTGGCGTTTGGACTCAGTGCTTCATTAGGTGTTTAAGCGGTGGCCCCTAGACAGGTGCATCACTAGACCTGCTAGCTAGGAAGTGGCGCATGATCATACTACCCGGGAACTCCTACTTGGACTGACCATGACCGAAAAGCAGTGTGTAGTTTGTTATTGGAGTTGATGTGCCGGTCGGTCCTTAGTTTCATTGTCATCAGACCGTGTGATCATATGCCTCGTTTGGATTGTCCCAGCTGTGAGCGCCGAATCTCAGAGGCGCCCTGGGGCCTTCGCTTCAGTACCCCCTACTGGCTTGCAGACCAGAGCTTGCTTAGGATCTTAATGTCGTCCAGGTTTTCGTCTTTCTGAACCTCTTCGCATACATCTATGCCACGGTGAAGGTCACTCTGTGGAGGAAGCAGCCAGAAGCCCAGAAGCAATTGAGGCTTTCGGACCCATAGTCTGCGGTGCCCGATGTCCGGAGCACGTGACTCCGAGTTGACTGTAGTGGATTCAGGTTCCGCACGGCCACCACAAAGCATGACAACGACCTGCATGACCGCATCACCGACTCTCTGGTGAACTACGAGGTTCCGCGTTTGTGCTTGCGAGGTGATTAGCTACAAATCAAAGACGGCTCAGCTATTCCAACAGCATGTAGCTGCACACTCTCATTCCAACGTGTCGCTCACGGCTGCCCAGGTTTGCGTTTCAGGCTTTTTGTGCTTGGGACAGATCATGGAGCTGCCTTGAATTCCGTTGAATTGCCCTGACAGACTGTGAAGTATTTCACGGCAGAGAACTACGAGCGCGCGGAGTGAACCGACGAAATTCAGACTGGTGGTAACGATATATATATATATATATATTAGTAAGTATATATATATATACACATATATTATAACGACTATGATCATCATGACGATGACAGACAGTGGGGATGGTGGGTCTCAAGTCAAAGCTCCTGCAGGTACCGGAGTCTTGTGGAAAAGTTTCAGAAAACATCGATGGCGACGCAGGCGATCCGCTGCTCGTGAGACAAGCACACGGCAGTATATAGCAGAGCAGCGATTGCTAGAGAAGGTTGTTGCATCAATTGTTGGGAATCAGGCATCCCTGTCACTGTTGAACGTGCTGCAGCAGCTCATCGTCAACTTTGCGCTGTGTGGTGGCATGTCCGGACCTCATTCTGCTGAGGGCTGCCTAGATTGACTGATATTAACGTCCGGTAATGGACCCACATGCACTGCAAACACTACCGAGGATTATCGCCACCATCCGTGTGCTCCAGGCACAGCTGCTGAGCTCATCTTGGTTTCGATCAATCCTTCGAGTAGGTATCAAGTAAAGGTCAGTAAGGGGTCCGAGGACGCAGTACCAACGAACTCTCAGCTGTGGCTGCAGCCCGTTGTCGCCAGGTTCATGGAGATTTGGGCGATTTCGTTGCTGTCAACGCGTGCGCTCGGCGAACGTGACTTGAACCGGTTAGTGGGGAGCAGTCTATGAAGCACGAGCAGGTACATCATTAACGTCTTCACACCACTCAACTTCCTGGGGACCATCTACAACATGGCTCTTCGGCTCTTGACTGTTTTGTAGGCCCAGAAGTTATCCACAACCGATATCTTGTGACAAGGTCGTGAATGCCATCGTGGATATGCGAAGCTTCGGGCAGCTCCTGGCAGAGACCTCCGAAGTTCAGGACGGTCTTCTAGACATGCTCTGGAGGGATACTTGAGATGAAGCCCATGAAGATCCGTCCGTTCGATTCTGGGGTTGTCAGGGGGTTTGCTCGCTTGCAGCGCCAGCACCTAACCAGACCTAATCTTTAAGCCTCTAAGCCCTGCTACTTGGTTCTGGAGCGGCTCACAGTCGGTTGTGCTTGGGACCCGAAGGCGAAACTGCAAAGATCAAGGCTCCCAGACGCTTCAGACGGTGATGTGTTCGTGGTTTTCCGGTTCAGCGGCTCCCTTGCAGGACGCTCCCAATGCCGCGGAGCTCAACCTCGCCGAGCGCGAGGCGGGAAAGTCCTTTTGCGGCCCTGCTACCAGTAAGGGAAATGAGGACTATGGCATATTGCTGGTCATGGATCGGGGTGCAGGTGCGATTTTCGGCAGTGCCTCCTTTCAGCTGTAACAACCGGGCGACCAAATTCCCACAGCAGACTGACTAATTGAAAACCCCACATGACGGTATGATTATCCCAGGGTCTTTGGTCGAACCTCGTAGGGAAGCACACAACATGGCGAGTTGTCAGGCGCCCATGGTGTCCTTCTTCCAAGTCAACTTCCACTACTCCAAGTGTCCCGGTACGGTCGGTTCTACTGATACCCAACCGCTTTGAGATTTTTTGAGTGAAGACGGATGAGTGGCGAGACTTGATCTTCGCAGGAACTTCGCATGCAGCCGATTCTTCGAAGGGATGGGAGTTGAACCATTATGTAATCTTGCTTTGTATGTCGTGCCACATGCAACTTAATGATATTCATGGTAGCAGCTTCAATCCTGGAAATGCCCGACGAATGATTACTACACTGTATGAGCCAATCTGCAATCCGGCCTTGTTTGTGTGCGATTCTGCCTCCTGTATTCATATGACCCACTGTAGACATGCTGCTCCTCTCATACACACATGCACAATGTATGTATATATGTACATACATATACTTGTACACACTGTGGTGTAAGTACATATGCACGTGCATACGTGCACGAGGTACTGGAGGGCCAGGCCGGGTAAATATAAAACCGTACCAGCTACTGTGGCAATCAGAAGTGGTGCGTGTGCCTCAACTCCGACTCCGGACCTTATGCCCTGCAGAAACAGGGAAAGAGAGAGCAAAAGGCACAGAGACACCGAGCAAAGAGTGAGCCAGAAAAAGATCTCGGCAAGGCAGCCTCTGGGCCGAGCCATAAAGGACCTTCTACGAGCAGTGCGTAAATCATTCGATTCGGGATCGGGAGGCTAACTTTAAGCCTGTTTGAATAAATCCGGCATCCGGTTGTAGAGCAGGGTTTCGGCTTTCGGTTTGGAAGGAGTTGCCGGTTTCCGCAGACAGTCAACAGTCTGTTTGCTTGGCCTCCCGAGGCTTGACTTTGTGAGCTGATTGTTGCATCCTACGTCCTACGTCCTACATACTGGTAGAACCCAACAGCTTCTTCTTGCAGTCAATAGCCTCTTCTAGCGCGCAGGATATCAGCTTCGAGATTCCTCGTGGTGGTTCCTTGGCCCTCGTGGGGGCCACCGGCGCGGGCAAGACAACGATCACGCGGCTCCTCTTCCGGTTCTACGACGTTGTGTCAGGCCACTCCGACCCGCAGTGGGACGGTGGAGAGGAACTCAACTTGCATCGAACTTGTAGGCGAGTATTCTATATTAGAGATCATACAGTACTACAGAGCACTACGCTGCACAATATATAAATTCAGTATGTCGCGACAGGTCAGGTCGCCGTGAATGGCCAGGACGTGCGGACGGTTACGCAGCGTTCTTTGAGGGCGGCCATCGGCATGGTCCCGCAGGAGCCAGAGCAAGGGAATTGGGCCCGGAGGGAGTTTCAATTTGTCGGGCAGCGGAGCACTGCAACAAGTAATTTAGAAAAATTTAGAACTGCCGACTAGTTGAATTTGGTGGATGGTTTTGCCTTTTGACGAACCGCAGGATGTCGTGCTGTTCAATTCCACGATTTCGCACAACCTGCGATACGGCAACATCAACGAGGCTGCAGATGTCTCCAGGGCCAAGTGGGTCTGCCCCTCCGCTGCTCAGCCCTACTCCCTACGATTGTCTCACGAAGCAGGGTGTCCTCAGCTTGCCCTCAATGCTATGCCGCAAGTGCTGCAGAGCTGTCCGTCCTGCTGACGCGATGCCTGGCCTTGCAGGCCACTACAGCGGACATTGAGAAGGCTGCCAAGAGCGCACAGCTGGATGGTTTTATCGACCAACAGGCCCAAGGCTACGAAACTTGGCATGCAGTGGTCAATGGGCCCTCGTTGTCCGAGAGGTACTTCGAGGCAATACCTGGAACGATGTGAGGGTCTTGTGACAGTAGCCTCGCTTTGCTACTTGCCCCTTTTTCAGGAAACACTCGTGGGCGAGAGGGGCCTCAAACTCAGTGGAGGTGAGAAGCAGAGGCCGGGATGTTCCTTTCTAGCGTTGGATCCGTAATGCCGAGCTGCCGGTTACGGCATGTTTAAAGAACGATGTTGCAATTCACGATTCCGAACTCGGAAGCAGAAATCCAGCGAGAAACAGGTTGGCCATTGCCCGTTGTTTGGTGAAAGACCCGCCGATTGTCGCTACCTGGCCTCACGTTAATCGCTCTGCATCCCGAGTCGATGAAAAGAGAATCTCCTTACATTCTGATGCGTCTTTCTCGGCATGCAGTCTGGTTGAGTTGCTTACAACATGTGAACTCTGTAACAGAAACATCGAGTGGCTCTGGACTCTGGGCATAGCAAGGAGGCTGTCTAAGTTCAGTGTTTGGGCAGGTTTCGCAAGCAAGCGTTTGCAGGGGCTCTCCTATTCGATGAAGCAGGAGGCAGGAGGCCTTCATGTGCGGGTAGACATTAAACCTCAATGCCAAGTTTGGGCCTTTGTCTGCTGCCTCGATAAGCCGCAGAAGTAAAAAGGGGCCTTCTATGGCAGATGAGGTGCTGGATGAAGCCACCTCGGCTCTGGACTCCCAGACGGAGCAGAAGATACAGCAAGCGCTGAGTGTGCTCAGCGCCTCGAGGACGGCCACTGGGATTGCCATGGCCCCCACAGGAGTCGTTCTGCACACGAGCTTTTTCGGAACAAATGGCGCAGGCCAGGGTCCGGGGCATGAGAGATGGTAACCATAATTGAGGTCGTGGCCATCGCCCATCGCCTCAGCACCATCAAGGCCTACGATCAAATCTGCGTCCTGGACGCCGGGCAAATCGCCACTCAGTGGCTTTAAAAAGCTGGCTGCCCAAGCCTTGAGCTTAACATCCCAGTGGTACACTACACCCTGAAATGATAAGCTCTGCAGTGCCTCCGTGGTAAACTGCACAACGAGAGTCGCAAAGGCCCAGGCTCGTCAAGCGAATTCAAGCGCAGTGCACCATGCCTTCAAAGTCGATGTGACACCGAAGATAGATTTGGCCTTCGACTTCCTGTTCTTCATGTGTTCGGGGTGTTTTGAGCTCAGGTGGAGTCCGGCACGCACGACAGTCTCCTCAGCAAAGGGGACAACTATGCACAGATGTGGAAAAGACAAGCTGCCGGCATCATGGACGATGATATGGAGGACCAAGTTGTTCCGACATCGGGGGCTTGGAGAAAAACTCGAACATCGTTAGAAGCAACCCGGAATGCCATCAACCATGTCTTGTCGCCTTCCTGACTTGTATAGCCTAAGAGCCACAACGCCTCAGTCTCTGGTTTGAGCATCATCCGAATCCTGGTGGGACTTCTGCACCGGACAGCCGGCTTTCACCAGCTCCCCCGTCTCGCAGTGATGTGTAGTTCACCGGGGAGGAAGACTCTTGGGACAATGTAACTTACTGAGTCCTTTCCTGCATGCCCACACTCTTTGTCAATGTTTTTGTGGTATGCTGCCCTCAACAGCAGTGGTAGACACCTTTGAGCGGTTCAGGGTTTAATTGTTTGCACTGTGGAAGCCTGAGAGGATGTGGTAATGGCAAATGGTAGCCCCAAGACGGCCGCTGCCAGTTGATGCAGGTGAGGGTGTGGCAATAAACTTGTAATTGTGTGTACATATACTGCCGGTAGCAGCCGCTCGTGCACGGAAATCCGTCATGGCTCGCGACATTTGTACTTGACGCTTCAACTGCGTCGAAAGTGAAGCACGGGAGTGACTCCATCCGCCTAAACGGCTCAGACATGCCTTCACGACCTCGGGGAAGCGTACAGATCGGAGCTGTTCGGGCAAAGGTATTTGGTGTGTCTTTCGACGGATCCAGGCTCTCTGGTAGTCTGATGGAGAGCTCCTGGATGCGCGTGAGGGGAGCTTGCATGCTTTGACCGACAGACTTGATTCAATTTTCCGTCGTCGCTATGGAAAAAAGTATCCTGCCTTGTGCACCTTGAAACTTTGTGTCCGGGCCGCCAATGCCCAAAGGATTTGCAATCTTTTGTTCAGCTTCCTTCCTCAATAGCAAAGCGTAGAGCGAAGATCCTGTCCATTTCGTGTGTAGACGTAGTACAGCGCAGTGGCAGCATTGATGCATATTGACGCGCGCTGGTTGCCGATGTTCCGAGGCCATTATGGCCCTTACCAAAGCCGTGTGTCGCGGCTACAACTTGTTACCCACGGAGCACACGCGCCCCTAGTGGCAGCAAGACAGACGAGGCCCTATCATGCCAAAAGTCCTCGTACCCAGCTTGTCTCAACCGTTAGAATTAGAAGTCTTTTCGGAGGGCCTAAGATCCCAATGCAATGGCGGATGACGAGCGCCTGCTTAAGCTGAAGGAGAAGTACAATCAGCTGAAACAGGCCGAGAAGCATCCGTTGATCTCATCTCGGAGAGGGGGGGAAGGGAGCCAGGCAGCTAGGGCTTGGGGCTAGGATTCGCCAGATCGGACGAGAACCTGCCTCCGACCTTGGCTGCAGTTCCACACCAGCATCCCACAGCCTCCGCATCTGAACTGAACTTGCTCAAGCTCTGGTAATGCGTGACCCAGTTTGCGTCAGAGCACATACTCAATGTTGTTGAAAACCTAACTCCTTTAACATAGCCTGTGCAGGCCAATGGAGTGCTCAAGAAGGGCTTGCTTGACAAGCAGGAGGTTCTCTTCTCGGGGAGGGTGCTTCGCACACAAACCTTCCCTCCTGCGCTGGCTCTCTCTAGCCCTGTCTCTAACTCTCACTCTGTCTGTCGAACTTTCGTTCGCGCTTGCCAGCACCCTTTACGGTTTCAGATGTGTTTTCAGTACATGCATTGCGTTGTGTGTCACCCACACCCACATTCTTGAGCTTGGTTTTTCTCATGACCGATGAGGAGTGTGCTCGCTTGGAGCAGCAGCTCAAGGACGAACCAGCAGGGCAAAATGGCTGGCCTGTTCATGATTCATGGCGCCTGAGACGGGCTGTTGAGAGCTGAGAAGCATGTTGCTTTCTGGAAACAGGAGAGAGACTCGACCATCCGTGAGCAGCTCGAAGAAATCGATCACCTTCAGCAGCCCACTTAGCATGGATCGTCGGAAAAAGCCTGGTATTCCGGAACGCCGAACAGGAGTGGCCAATGTTTCCACATAGAGTGCAATGCACCTACACCTCATTCAGAACTCAGCGACTGATCGTTCGATCCCTTGCCCGCTCAGATTCCAAAACGGGCGCATGTCCAAGCAGCTCGGCACGCTGACTGCGCAGGCCGGGTCTGCTGGAGTTGCAAAACGTGCGGCAAGTGGCAAACAGCATATTGCCAGATACTGGGAGACAGACTTAATTGTTCTAGGTCCTATGGCCGCGCGCTGCATGTGTTCTGTACAGCTTTAAGCCCGACCTGTGCATGCAAGCTTCAAGGAGAGAAGGCACCATGCTCTGCTTGCACTTGTTTCAAAAGCCCCACCGATGGCTTGTTCGAGAGAGTGCGGCTTCGAATCGATAACGTCGCCACACAACCATCCTAGAACCTTGTCTTGCTGGTTGTACGTAGTACGTAGTCCTGGCGTGAACAACTCATGAGGGGTGGGTCCCCACACAGTCGTCGACGCTTTCGTGACCAGGTGGAGGAATCGAGAAAAACTCAGACACAGAGTTCCTGGCGCCGGCTTCAGTGGTTCTGTGTACAGGGCATGACTCCTGCAGGACTTGAGGTACCAAGCAGAAAACATCGTCGGGATGAACCGACATCCAGAAGCTGTCTGATCCAACCACCCATAAACCTAAAACATCCTAAAACCCGGGACTGCCCAAGTCCCAGAGGTTCTTGTCCCACCAACCAGATTGACACAGGTCGATGGGCGGCCTAATCTCTGGAAAGCAGCAAGAGGCAGGGATTGCAGATGCCGTCGTAGTAGCTGTTATTTAGTATGTAGTAGTCGTAGAAGCAGTAGAAGAGCAAACAGCAGTAGTCGTAGTAGTAGCAGCAGCTGGTCGTGGTAGTGATAGTGGTAAGGCAGAAATGGTAGAAGCAGCAGTAGCGGTAGTGGTCGTATTAGTAGCAGTAGTAGTCGTAGCAGCAGTAGGAGGAGGAGCGATAGTCGTTGTACCAGAGGTGCTAGTAGTAGTAGTAGTAGTAGTAGTAGTAGTAGTAGTAGTAGTAGTGGTAGTAGTGGTAGTAGTGTTACTAGTGGTAGTAGTGGTAGTGGCAGTAGTAGTAGTAGTAGTAGTAGTAGTAGTGGTAGTAGTAGTAGTAGTAGTAGTAGCAGTAGTAGTAGTTGTAGTAGTGGTAGTAGTAGCAGTAGCAGTAGCACTTGCACTGGTCGCACAGGCCTGTTTGTAGTTCACGGACTATTGCTTCCTCTCAGAGCTGCAGCTGCGTTTGTTTGTTGCTGGAGCTCTTGGTAAGCAGTTGCGACTCAGCTACGGCAAGGCTTTGAGAGCACCATCAACCGTTTTAATGCTTGTCGGCTTCTTCTCCGTCTTCACACCTTCATGCAATCCTCCACGGTCGATGTGCAAGCTGCCAGCTGGTCCAATCCTGTCGCACTCCCTACTCGAGACAGTGAAACGACATGCTTCCGCAGCCCAGTCTCCGCATCAGATAGCTTGCTTGTTCATATCCAAGTGAACCGTCTGGAGGCCATGCAGAAAGCCGAAAGCGAGCGTCAGCCCTGGATGCTACAAAGAAGGTACAAGGTGTTATAAACGGGATGCTACAATGCAAACTGTAAAGTAAAGCATCTACGAGCTGAGCTTTTTCAAGGAGGAGAACGCAGCATCAGGAGTAGGTAGTTGCATCGGCAGGGATCGTCGCGAGTTGGGGCTAAACAGACGCCCCGCCCAGTTTGGCAGTGCTCCGAGATGAACTCATGATGAAGATTCAAGAGAACGAGGCACGCCAAGATTGTGGAGGATGCACACGCAAGCTTGCTTTGAACTACAACTTCTCAGACGTCTCGAAGCGGTCAGGAACAATCATGATTTACTGACGTTGCTTCACAATGTTTGCTTGTCCAAGCTGCTCTGCCAACAGGAGCTTCACATGCGCGTCTTCGAAGCGCAGAAGCAGCACGATGAAGAGGTGCAAGACATCGCTGTATGGGATTTTGTGGGCTCAACCCGAGATTTGAACAAGCTCCTACTGTCCGATAGCCAACGAGACCCTCGCCGCGGAATTACAGAAAATCCTCAAGCCTGCAGTCGAAGTTAGCAGGCCGAAAGGCTGCGCGACACCGAAGCCACCAAAGGCGAATGCAGGGATGCATCGGGCAGGGTAGAGCAGGAGAGGTTTGTTCTTGTACTTACACGTCTCGAACCGCAGTAGATAAATGGATAACGCCTCTAGGAGTTTCGAACGTATACGTTTTCGTGCTCTTGGAGAAAAGACCCCATTATGTTGTTCCACAGTCGGCTAGCCCCAGGTAGGGACCTGGAGCGATATGCTGCGCAACTCAAGAGCAGCAAAGAGGAGGCACTGACTCGGGAAAGGGGTGGGCAAATCGAGTCAGGACAGCCATGACAGTAGCGTCGACCACACTGATAGTCAGTTCTCAGAGGAAAGAGAAGACAGGAAAAGGGAAGAGAGTCGAGATCTCCAACTCCAAAGATCCAGAGTGACGGGTCAAGGCGCTTTGTATTTTGCCACATTTGGCCCTAAGTCTAGGCCTTGATTCACCCTTGAACTCCTTTCAAAGCTGCTGCTAGCCCTGACCTGGTTTTTTATCCGAAACACTGAGATCAACAGACACCTCAAAGAAACCCAGCCTCAGCGAGTGGCCCGGCTCAGGTTGAGCGGCTCTCTTCGGAAGGCAGTCGCATGGCTCGGAGCTTGGGCTACATTCGGGTTTCCAGTTTTGGGTGGGGTAAGTAAAATAAGTCGTCAAGTGCAAAGTCCGGAGGTCCTGACCCTTAAGAAACCCTCTTAAGGTTTTCGGGTTACAGATTTTGGCAAAGGTCGAAAGTGGGCGATCTTTTGCTGAGGCTGAGCGCATCAGCACGTTGGTGAGAAGCTCAGAGCCTTCCAGTCGCCTCGACTGGGTATCACCTCACCGGAGACCTTATGTTGCAAGAATGTGCAAGTGAGTTCAGGGATCAGGATGTCGGAGGTTGAATCCGAGCTCGGTGTTGCCGCGTGATTCCTTGCACTCGCCATACTGCAGAAGTGCGAGGATAACCAGCTGTTTGCATCGGCGCAGCTGTCTCAGAGTCGGATGCTGAGCAAGGGCCAGATGTTGCATGAGGTTGCACTCCATGCGACCGGTGAAGCCGAGACACGCAATTTTACAAGCCGATATCTAACTAACACACACACACACACTCACTCACTCACTCACGCACGCGGGCACGTACGCACGAGCTCCATTTCCAGAAGGTTTTTCGTGCAGCATGATGAAGATGGTGGCAGCTTGAATCTTGACGGAGACCCCGCCTGCAGCCGTCCAAACATCTGCAGATGCAGCCGAAGCGCCACAAATGTATTCAAAGCCCAGCGCACGTTCGCGATCCCAACTTAGCCGGGCGAAGGCCTCAGGGAGCAGCTGGACAAGGAGCGGCTGGAGGCGCTGTGAGAGATAGATATCGGCACTTCCACTAAAGACTAAAGAAAGCAGCATGTGCTCCCATCAGGCCGCGGAGACCAAGACCGCTTTACAATCACGCCTCGCCCAGTGGGTGCTCGGCTCAGTCATTCTCAGCCCATTGCGAGCTCCTTCGGAAAAAGGAGCTTGAAACCCGAATTCGGGCTCTTGAACCTTTTTGATCAGAGCCAGGGCTCATCGGCATCACAACTCAGGACATGAATCTAGCAGTGAGATGTCAGGCCAATTGAGGTAAGAGAGCCTGAGCTTCATAGGCTAAAACCAGGCCGGAGCCTTCTTATTGGAGCAGCCTCGAAGTTTCCTGCGCCGATGTTGATGTGTGAGGGTTTATATTTAGAGTTTGGAGTTTATGTGCTTCGAGTGCGAGGTATTGGATCTGGATGTGGTTCAGGGCCCTGGGCCCTTCCTAAGTGCCAGAAGTCGAAGGTTGGATTGAGGAAGCCCTGTCTCCAAACCCTCCTGTCTCCGGGTGTGCCCAGAAACCTGCCGCCGAGGTTCCATTCGACTGGACTTGCCATGACCTTTGGTACGGGCTCCAAGCAAGCACGCTGGTCCTGGGGTTGAGAGCAACTTACGAGCCTAGGCGAAATGCCGAAGCCAAGCAACTCTCAAATCTTCTGTTGGCATCTTGACGACGGAGCTCCCTTGAACAGTGGGAGCTCACACTGTGCAAGAAGCTAGAAACCCAGTTCTGATGTAGGCAAAATGTGCATCACTTTCCTCATGCTCTCCTTTTTGTCTTCTGTTTCACTTTTGTATGGCTTGCGATCGAAGACCTGGCACTAGCAATAGCTTCCGAGCTGTGAAAGTCCAGGTAATTCCGGAACACAAAGGGTTCAGCAGGTCAGCACCCTGACAGGGACATTAAATGAACAGTATGCTACGTAGCAACTAACAACTGCCAAAGGTCGTGGGCCGTGGGCGAAGCAGCTGTACAAAAAGCCTCTCTATAGCGGTTTTTTTCATTACGGAAACAGTAATGACCAGAGTGAGTAGGAATAGGATCCACGGTCTAGCTTAGGACCGGCTTCGGGCTGGGATCCCAGCAGGGGCGGCTGGCCCGGCAAAGGGAGGAGGCCGCATTCCAAACCCGGGTCCTCCCACACTTATCATAGAGCCACACACACACACGTAGGTGCATGTTAATGCATACACGCATGTGCATGCACACTTACCTTGGAATCCGCACGTATACCCAGACCATGTACCTAGTTTTATGTATGTCTGGTATGGTATGGCGTGGTATGGTATGGTATGGTAGCTAGCTGGCTAGCTAGGTATGTAACCGGTAGTCAGGTAGGTATGTAGTAGGTTCAACGCGTGTGGCACATGGCACAAGACAGTATTCTGTACTGCAGCCTTGCCCTTGAATGAAAACGTCATGCAGAAAAGCAATAACGATAGTCGTCGGGCAGCAACACAGCATATTTCACGGCCTTGATTCTGACACTATGCTGGTTGCTGTGCAACACATCGTGCATGGCCTGGGCATCGGGCTGCCAAGGTCGCATGGTCTCAAAAAGTCAGTTGAAACACATGAGGAAGAGACTTGCCAGAAGGTCATATTCGTTTTAAATCCTGATACTGTAAGCACACAGGCTAAACTCCAAGGGGTAGTACATGTTACGTGACAAGGCTGGGTGATGTTGTGCACGATTAATTCAATAG